CGGTTCGGCACGCATGTGATTCGCGGATTAACTGTTAAGTTTAACCATCATAGAGTTCAAGTTTATCATTTGCACATGTTTTGTCTTGCCAGTTTACACATTCAAGCAATTTTAACTCGTGCGCTGTTTTCTGTGCGCTCAGCCGGTGCTGCACACACACGAAGCGCACAGGCAGAGAGAGAGAGACACCGCGTGAAAAGCGAATTGATTCCTCTTTCACATACACAAAGTTATGTTAAAATATTCGTTTTGGCAAGTATTCTAGTAAACACAGTCGGTTATGTCTTAAGTGAATGTAAACAGCTGAGAAAAAAAAACGGATGTGGTCTTAAAGAGACAGCAACCAATAAATACCTGTTTCTGTCTGCGAATCAAATAACACCACAGCTCTAACAAAGATTAACCTGTATTTAACTTGTGCAGTGAGCAGTATTGTGTTATTTTACACTTATTATTACATTTCTGCACCTGAATGCTACTGTTACTGACTTTATTTGTAACTGTGTTTTGTTGTATTCATCTATGCTTGTAATTTGTGTAATTGTTCTTGTTTTATTACTAACTTTATTAGAGCTAGTAGTTTTGCTGTGGTATATAGAAGTACTTAAAGTAAGCTTTCACAAAATTTTTTTTTTTGCCGATCCGAAAAGTGATCCGATCCGTGACTCAAAATCCGTAATATGATCCGAACCGTGAGTTTTGTGATCATAAAAATCTTAGCACAGCTTGAGGTCTACATAAGATTAAGTAAAAGTGACTTGAACTTCGGTCTAGTTGACAATCAGGTTTTGCAGGAATGAAGTCAGCAGGTTGAAAGGGACGTTTTCCACAAAGTGTGGGAACGGTGACGATGAGAGCGGATTTGGTTGGAGCTGAAACTGGAGTGAGAAGAGTCCTCTTCCTACATTTCTTTTTCCTTCTCTTTTCTCACCTCCTTCTCACGGCTAGACTTCATAAAGTCACTTCTCATCAGACGGTAAAACAGCACAATGTTCATGGCAGTCATGATGGCCAGACCCACGCTGCCGATGGTGTAGCTGACCAAGGGGATGAGGTCACGATTCAGCACCAGCCAGCGGGTCATCCAGGCCAGAGTGCTGATACGAAACACTACGTAGGTGCCCAGATTTATCATGCTGTTGACACGGTAAAATGTACTTTTGCCCAAGCTGGCCATGTGGAGCACTTGCCTCAGGTGCAGAAAGATTGAATTGATCTCCACCAACAGAGCCACCACTGCAAAACCCACATACCGACAGGTCAACACCGAGATCCCGAAACAGGTGATCACCTGCAAACAAAAGAAATTGAGATGCTTTATTAATAGCAATGCACTAACAATTTGCCAAGGAAAACTTTAAAGGAATAGTTCACCCCAAAATTAACATTTTTCACTGGAGACAGCAATATTATAGAGGACTTGTATTTTAGCAATGATTTAAAGTTAAAAACATCTTAATGAACTTATCACAAACACGCAGCTTTTCACTACACAATATGTTAACTGAATTACTTGTGGATTATTGTGATGTTTTTATCAGCTGTTTGGACTGACGGCACCCATTCACTGCAGACGATCCATTGGTGAGAAATTTTCTCCAAATCTGTTCTGATGAAGAAACAAACTCATCTACATTTTGTGAGAACATTTTCATCAAATTTCTTGTTTGGGTGAACTATTCCTTTAAGATGACTGTGCCATTTTCAGCTTTCAGCTAAAAGGCAAATCAGGCAGAAAAAAAAAAAGTGTACAGAAACAGTTACTTTGACATTCAACAACAGAAGAGTGTGAAATGCTCCAGGTTTAATTGGCTCTAATGATGCATTGACAGAAAAGAGGTTGTGTTCGCCTGAGAGAATATTCAGTGCAACATCAAGCAAAACATGAAGGCAGAGAAGCTTCTGTTACTCAAGAAAATGCCACATTATTACCTGAAGCAAAATAAACTAAGTTTGTATTCATATCTTCTTAAGCACTTTTGTAGAGTACACATGTGCTAATATTAGCCAAAAGCCAGTTTGGGCCAGGTTTATTTTGAGACCACTGTTAGTCTCCACACCTCAGTGTCTCAGTTTGGAGTTTGTTTAAAGTCAATACTGCATTGCACAACACATGCATATACTTGTGCTGTTTTTACATCTATACACATCTGTACAATATTGTTAAAGATAGTATATTTTCTATACTTTAAATTAATTTAAAACTACATTTTTTGATATTCCATTTGTTTCCAGAATTTTTGGTTGCATTTCCACAGCTGCCCATGAATTTCAAGTTCACTACACACATTACATCATGTATCCAACTTATTACAAACATTACCTTCAGAAACAATTTTTCATCGTAATATGATTTTTTAAAGCATTTTTAAAGATGTTGTTTGACATGTTCATGCATCTATAGGAAGTCATTCAATTTAAATAGGCCAGTTAAGTCATACACAGACTAATGTGCTTAATTTCAGCAGCAACTCTTTCGTCTTCTCAACACTTATCTGCTGTGAGGCAAAAAGAAAACAAATGAGATTGTGTTCTGTATCATCTGATAACAGCTGGGAGAGGCTGAGGACAGGAATACAAAGGCTCTGTTGATCAGTCCTAAACGCAACATGACAACAACCAAAGCCATCACCATGAGTGACACTAATCCAGCTGGAGTTCTACAGTTCAAACAAACCCTAGTAATGGCTTTGGTCAATATTACTACCAATAGAGCACAATCGTGATTGCGACCTTGATTCTGGAAGTACTTTTCCCATGAACTGTCTCTATAAGCATTTATAATAATCTTCAATAAAGAGTCCTGAACCAAACCAACAAGCTCTGAGAATAACCAGAAATAAAAAACTTGATTTAAAGCATAGAGGTATGTGAACATTGTGACTGACTTTGTATGTGACATCTCTAAAAAAAAAAAATTGATATAAAAATGTTTACTTTTATTCATTGATAAAAAAAACTTATGAAAAGTTTTTAAAATCTTGTTATTAATTAATTTTCATCCAAAAGGAAATTTAAAACGTTTTTTTTCTTCCACATATCTTCCACTAGGTGGCAGTCTATGCCTAACATTACAAAAACATTGTGAAAAGTGCATAGATTAATCTGAACTGCTTACACTTATTAATGCAAAACTTATATTGAGCATTTAGATTTCAATCCATTATAAGACATTTTCCTCTTGGTATCTCATTCCCATGAATCACTAACCAAAACGCAGTCAAATATAAAAACAAATCAAAAGTATTTACTAAGACCTCAACCGTGAGATACTTGGAGTAAGAACTAACTATTATAATTCTGAACTTCTATGATTTATACAATTTTATTGAAGTTTATGAAACGTGTACATTGGCAAATCCTCTATCATAACGGTCAGGTATGATGAGTCTTTCGCACAGCACAAAGGTGCAGTTACATGACATCCAATATCAAGTTTACGTGACCGTGACCGTGCGGCATTGCCGTGATATAACTCCTTTTGTAACAGGACATAAACTCACTGGTTGCCCAGATGAATCTGTAATGCAACCCTGTTCACATGACACCCGGCTGGTCCTTGTGGTGAGGAATGTCACAGCAGTAAGGCCAGTGCCTCTCTCAGAAGGCATGAAGCAGGCAAGTGATGTATAATGGCTTTTAGCTTAAAATCCAATCATACTTCTCTTTATAGCAATATGTGGCATGTATGCTCCATTCATAAAGCCAAGCATGACAAAAGCTGACCATCCATCCAGCTATGTGGACTGTAAACACATCTGAGTTGTCTAAAAGAGGTCTACAGTCAGAGCACAGGCTAGAAACAGTTACAGCTGAAAAATATTTCTAAGTTTATATAAAGCGATAAAAAAAACAGACTGTTGGTTTAGCAGGACCGTTAGCTCTGTAAACATGATTTTCGTCTATAAATGTTTCTCTGACTGCAGTGAAGGGCTCTTTTTAATATAAAGACGCATGATTACTAAATTAGATTTGTGTCCTCAGTCTCATGACTGAGAGGATGTTGACCTTTGGCTAACACTTTGTCTTTGCCTTGGTGAGGTCAACATCTCCACTTACACAACGCTTAAGATGGATAAAGCTTTGAACATCACAAACAAACCTGTTATCTTTAGGAGACCCTATCTCTCCTTAAGGTGACAAGAACACCATATGGAAGTGATCAAAGCCTGATGAGACTAAGTGGATGGATATATTTCATATTACTAACGAAAATGAGATCTGTCTTCTACACAAAATGAGGTCAACAGGTGTTACACAAGTCAAAGACATCAAAAACAAACACTCAATATTGTACAATTTGTAATATTTGAATGGCAACTGTAATAAAGAAATAAAACACTCTTTAACGTCCTTCTCGGCCTTGAAAATAAAATAATCATTGACAGAAAAAGAGTCATATACATCACATAACATGTTGCTTTATGTGAACAGCTCCTGGTTGAACATAGCGCTCGCAACAGCACGGTTAGGGTCCGATTCTCAGGGAACACGCATAATGATTAAATGTATATTTTTATTGTAAATATATAGTACACTTCTATCCAGTAAGGATGTTTTAAATTGATGTGACAGATTTAAATTGAAAGTGACAGTAAAGATGTATAATGCTACAAAAATTTAAATAAATGCTGTCCGTTTAAATTTTCTATTCATCAAAGCAGCCTTGCAGAGCATAAGTGATATTATAACGGTAGTGCATATAATGATTTTAAACCTTTACAAGATGCATGAATGAATGAGCTAAGAAATTAACCAATTCTACATAGCACAAAACACTTTTAAAATTAAGATCAAACTAAACTCACAACTCCTTATAAAGCTGCTTTCAATCTATACAAATAAATGACTTCACAAAAAACAATCCACTTCAACTTAATGCTGCAGACACCAACAGACAATCAGCGTGAATATGAATTAGCAAGATTATTCTCATAATCCATCTGCAGTCATGCTGAAATAATCTTATTCACTCACACGCAAAGCCCTGAAGCGGATAAACCAAAGCGTGGGAGCAATAAAAAAAGCACATGCTGATCACACCTGAATATTTTTGTTGTTTTCAACCAAAACAATGCTCTTATTTTCAATACAATGCATTGAAACAATGCATATAAAGTACTAATGATGCAATAATAACATCACATTAGCACATGCCCGCCGGTTTGCTCCCCTGTTGTAAATGTAAAGCTACAAGTCTGTTTGGTTTCATAAACCTCTCCCTGTGGGGTCAATTACCATTAGTAGTGTCCCTACTTTCTCCATTACACACCAAAAAACAACAACAAACATAGCAGACACACAAATGGCATTTGGCATGGGACCAAAAAGGCTCCTCCTGAGGAACTGGATGGGGGGGTGGTAGCAGTACCAGTCTCAAACCAGTTAACCTGGTTACAGGTGAAACTCATTCAGAAGGATTTGCCAGCAGGCCCATTTGAGCAGCATGTGAGGAATACTGAAGCTCAGTGAGAAATAGAGCGCAGATGCCAATGGCTTTAGACCACATGAGGTGATGAGAGAAGAACGTACAAGTGGACTAACAGAGAGGACACATGCATTGTTGGATAGTTTACCAAAAAAATTTTTAATTCTGTCATTTGTAAGTCAATGAATGGTCATTTTTACGATGATTTAAGAATAAAAACACCATAAAAGAGGCCCCATACAAATTGTGCACTATTTAGATTACTTTTAAAAAGTTTTGTGTTGAAAAATGAATTCAGCAAGAATACGTAAATACATTTATAATATTAACCTAAAACTAATAATAATAACCAAAATAATGACTAACCTAAACCTAAATTTGTCTGCTCCTCCCACAAAGCGATCATATAAATGGTGCGAAAACAGCAGAACTGTCATTTTTGAGTATTTTTATATAAACAAATGCAGTGCAGCGGGTCTGTAAGGCACATCCTCCAGATTCCAATCCCAGTATAAGAACAGACACAAACACAGAAAGCAGATCCACCCATTTAAAGACATCTGAGACCGAGGAGGGGTCAGATGGTGTGTGAGAGAGTGAAACTGGGCTGGGACATGAAGCTGAAGGTGGAGTGGGTGGAAATATAACCATATGAAATAAAGGTGTTGAGAGAGGTGAACTCAACGGGTGTGGCACAGTTTGAGAGGAAAAAAAGATGTATGAATGTGTGATGAATATGTGAGTGTATGTTTGAGTCCAACATTCTCATGAATCATTGATGATTTTTAAGATGGGTGAGATGAGCTGGATGAATCTTGAACATTCACAGTATTTTCACAATGAATTTGTCATCGATTAAGCAA